AAGCTATAAGGAGGTGACATCAGCATTGGTGAATTATGAGTTAAGGAAGAGTGATAGTGAACCCTTCGAGAAGGCATCGGGAGATGCATTGGCAGTGAGAGGTCGTAGTCCAAACCGTCGTCAGTTTAATTGCTCAAAGTCGAAGCATAGAGGTTGCCATAAAAGTGTTGGTAGGAATCAATGTGCTTTTCGCAAAGAAGATGGACATTGGAAGAATGAATGCCGAAAGTTGAAAGATAGAGCCTGGAAGAATAAGGGGAAAATCAGACAGACTTCAGAGGTGAATGTTGCTAAAATTAGTGGTGACAATTCTGATTCTGATTCTTCAGACTACTCATGCCCAACATTATCGTCAGTTTGCTATGCAGACTCCACGGAATGGATGTTAGATTCGGGTGCTACATATCACATTTGCCCTAAGAAGGATTGGTTCTCCAACTTTGAGGAGTTGGAAAGTGGGGTGTCGTGTTAATGGAAAATGATCACGTACGCCCTATTTGTGTTATTGGTACAATTCAAATCAGAATGTGTGACGGGGTGACTAGGGAGTTGAAGGAAGTGAAATTCATTCCGCAGTTGACAAAGAATATAATTTCACTTGGAACTTTAGAGACAGCAGGTTATCAGGTGATCTTGGTGGTAAGTTCCTATATTACTTGAAGGGAAAGGCAGTTACAGGGGGTCTGACAACTTCTATTACCACAGAGGAAGATACTACTAGCTTATGAAATATGGGATTGGGACACACTGATGATAAGTTCCTGCAAGTATTGACAAAACAGGGGCTATTGAAGAGTGCAAAGACCTGTAAGATGGAGTTGTGTGAACATTGCATACTTGGGAAGAAGACGAAAATAAAATTCGGCACCGCAATTTATAACACCCAAGTATATTGGATTACATTCACACAGATGTTTGGGGTCTTTCAAGCACACATCACTTGGTGGGACCAATTATTTTGTCACGTTTATTGATTATTATTCTAGGAGGAATTGGGTATATACCATGAAGCATAAACATGAGGTCCTAGATAAGTGGATCTGCAAACATGTAGAAAGGTGAAAGAATTCCGTTCTGATAATGGTGGTGAGTACAAGAGTGATCCATTTTTACAGTTTTGTCGGGATCACGACATTAGGCGTCATTTCACAGTTAAGGAGACACCGTAAAAAAACGGGGTAGCCGAGAGATTGAACCGTACATTTCTGGAAAATGTGCGATGTATGCTCTCACAGAGTGGATTAGCAAGATCCTTTTGGGCCGAAACTTTGGTTTATGCGAGCCATCTCATGAACAGGTTATCGTGCACTACGATACATGGAAAGAATCCTATAGAAAAATGGTCTGGTTCAGTGGCTAGTGATTATGAGTTGCTTCAGATATTTGGGTATCCAGCTTACTATCATGTGAATGATGGAAAATTGAATCCGAGAGCTAGAAAAGCAGTCTTCGTGGGCTTTAGAGAAGGAGTTAAAAGCTTCAAGTTGTGGGATCCAAAAGATAAGAAGATAACCATTAGCAGAGACGTCACTTTTGATGAGGCTCACATGATGAGGCCTCAGATCCCTCAGCAGGTGGAGGAAGGTCAGACTAGTGGGATATCGCAGCAGGTGGAGGATGATATGACTCCACAAAATCCGGATAGCAGTGTATCCATTAAGGCTCTTGATACGAGTTGCCGTGCGAGCACCCTTTGGTCGTGGAATTACCAAAAGGTGGGTTGAGAAAAGGACGACCAAAACACAAGAACAATTCAGTTTGGCGAAGGAAAATACCTTCTCTAGATTATGAAGAACAAAAGATTACAATCTCTCCCTCACAATCTGACTCTAGAATTGAAGAACAAGCTCTCCAAATCTCAATCTAGAATCTAATCTCTCTTGATTAAACTCTCTGACCTAAAAAGATCTCATACCTCACAATATAAACCCTAATCCTTTTGATTAGGATCTCACTTAGACCTAAAACCCTTTAGATCTACATCTCGATGAGTCGACTCATGACTGAGATGAGTCGACCGAGCAGAAGCTTTTGACAAAACGGCTGGGTTTCGTGAGTCGACTCATTACAGACATGAGTCGACTCAACCTGATGAGTCGACTCATGTACCGTATGAGTCGACTCACGAGCTGAAATCTGGATTCTTCGAATCTGCTGCTCGCCGTCTCGTTCCACGCTTCCACCTGTGCTCCGCCGTGTCGCTTCACACTACTATTCTCAAGATATCATGAGAATCACCTATCCTCAAGCTCCCATGAGGATCGCTTTTCCGAAGAGAAGATACACCCGTATCAGCTCTTACAGAGGTGACACTAGGAGGAGATGATTTGACAAATGGGCAGATGCAGGATACAGTCGATGTTGGGAGGAGATGTATCGTATGCAGGATACAGTGGATGCATAACTAATAGATAATAAATAATAATATAATAATGATATAATAATATACTATACAATAGTATAATCGCTATAACATTATTAGCTTTTTCATAAATAAATTATAATAAATTAATAATTATAAAATATTATATAATAGTAACATATTTAATAATAACATAATAATATAATAATATTATTATAAAAACATATTGTATAGTAAATATAATATTATATAAAATATTAGTATATTATGTAATAAATAATATAATTTATTATAAAGTAAAATAATTTTTATTAATAAAATAATTTTCAAAATCATATTACCCCCTATTCGCCACGTGTTTTTTTTACTCGGAAGCCACTTGGGAACTAATATTTTCAAAATTTCAACTCGATAGGGCGGTTTAATTACCGTTAAAAATCATGCGTCTTGTTAACTAAAGGTTACGGGTTTAATTGTTAAGGTTACGGGTTTAATTGTTATGCATTGGTTGTGAAGGTTACGGGTTGGGGGTTGGTTGGTTGTAAATGTTATGCATTGGTTGTGAAGGTTACGGGTTGGTTGTTAAGGTTATGGGTTTGTTGTGTAGGTTTAGGGTTTAATTGTTAAGGTTACGGGTTTAATTGTTAAGGTTACGTGTTTAATTGTTAAGGTTACGAGTTTAATTGTTAAGGTTACGAGAGAGAGAGAGAGAGAGAGAGAGAGAGAGAGAGAGAGAGAGAGAGAAGGGATCTATAACCTTAACAATTGACACGTAACCTTAACAATTAAACCCGTAACCTTAACAATTAAACCCGTAACCTTAACAATTGACCCGTAACCTTAACAATTAAACCTGTAACCTTAACAATTGACTCGTAACATTAACAATTAAACCCGTAACCTTAATAATTAAACTCGTAACCTTAACAATTGACCCGTAACCTTAAAAATTAAACCCGTAACCTTAACAATTAAACCTGTAACCTTAACAATTAGACCCGTAACATTAACAATTAAACAGTAACCTTAACAATTAAACCGGTAACCTTAACAATTAAACCGTAACCTTAACAATTAAACTCGTAACCTTAACAATTAAACCTGTAACCTTAACAATTAAACCCTAAACATTAACAATTAAACACGTAACCTTAACAATTAAACCTGTAACCTTAACAATTAAACCCGTAACCTTAACAACAAATCCGTAACCTTAACAACAAACCCATAACTTTAACAACAAACCCATAACCTTAACAACCAACCCCGTAACCTTAACAATCAATGCATAACATTTACAACCAGCCATTATCCTTAACAACGAATATTCTAAAAATACGAAAAGAATAAAAAACAAAAATAATAAAATAATAATCATCTTCAATCATTTCAATATCATCAAAGTAACATCATGAGAGAGAGAGAGAGGATCCGTAACCTTAACAATTGACCCGTAACATTAACAATTAACTCGTAACCTTAACAATTAACCCGTAACTTTAACAATATTCTAATACAAACAACGAAAATAATAAAAAGTAAAAATAATAAAATAATCATCATTAATCATTTTAACTATCATCTCAGTACATCATGATAAAGAGAGAGAGAAAACAAAAATAATAAAATAATCCTCATTATATTTTAATAAAAAAGGAAAGAGAGATAGAAGGGTATTATGGTCTTCACATATTTTAATCTCATGGGTTTTGTGTTTTTGGGGCTCAGAGAACAGAATATTTATTTTTGGGGGCAAAACACCCGTTGACAAAGTCTTGGGGGTGGGAAGCACGTTTTCTTGTCTTTTGGGGGCTGAAAGCATTTTTCCCTAAGAAAAAACACCGTGAAATCCAAACTAAACCTAGCTATTGGATTAGATTGATTGATCAAAATCTGATTTGATGAGCTGGCATGCAATTAATGAGGGATGGGTAATATAGTAAGATGGAAAAGAAAGAAAATAAAACTCAGCTTTCTTTGTTTTCTTTCATCTCGTTAACAGAGGCCGTAAGAATGATGGGGAAAGGAACCCGGCTGACCTGGGCCGCCACCTTCGGGCGTTTTGTGAAGGCCCACTATCCCATTTCACGACGGCTGCGTTCTTCTCTCCTACATTCTTTCTCTGGACGCTTAATCTGCATTTAGTAAGAGATGAAGTTCGCACTTCTACGTTTTCTGATGCGGCCCCTCGTGTTTTCACCCCCATCACCTTGCTTTTAACTTTGTTTTTCTTTCACTCTTCTGGGTTCTCTTATGGGTGAGGCATATCTTTTAATGCAAACGCTTCAACCTTAGATGGATATCAACCAGTCCAACGCCCAGTTGCTGCAACATGACTGCCACGGCCAGTTTCAAGGATGCCAATGATGCATAAACGCGCGATTCCATCTTTCCATGCCAGCGCACCGAACATCGCCAAGACCACGGTGCAGCGCGTGATTCGCTATTGTGGCGTGACGGATTTGGTTTCATATGAAACGATCAGACCGAATCTTCCTCCAAGCATGTCTCAGATACTAGAGAGAAATCCTAATAAGCTTCGAATGTAATTAACTTATCTACTGATTAACTAGCATGGTGCAAGTCTATAGGGACATGAGTATCATCTTGTATATAGTAACAAGAAATGGACACCAACTAGTGGATGCTTTTGTGATATTATCATCCCACTGTTCTGCGGGAGCTTCTGGCTCCTCGAGAACAAGCACCAATAATAGTATCCAGTAACGAAATCAACAATTTTGACACAACTCCGACAGGTGATTGTTAAGATAGTATATATGTGTATAGGCCCACTATTGACCCGCTTTAGCCCATGTACAGTCTATATATTGTTTGTATTACAGGATCAACATAACAAGGATTTAGCTCTACGAATTAATATGGTATCAGAGACAATCTCAACCATCCATCAAAACCAAACCCTCTAAACTCAAACCAAACCTTGCTGCTGCCGCCTGAGTGTTGGTAGTTGCCTTTAAGTAATGCACTGCTATTTTCTCATCTGTGTTAAAAGCTGAGCTGGGGGTTTTCCAGCGCTAGCACCACTATTCCCACCAAACGCAGAGAAACCGCCTCCTTGGTTGTTCCCAAAGGAAGCAAAACCACCTGCACGTACACATAGAAGAATCAGAAACCACAGTTGAGGTGTTGTTATGCCTAGCACATTGGACATCCATGAAGATGGACACATTTTGTTTGTTGATAAGATTTAAGTTCTCTGATAATTAGAGACGTAGTCAGGCAACTAGTGAAATATATCAAAGTGCATCATTCATACATGCCCATAGTTTAAACATGCAAAGTTGCGTCTCACAAACTATACATCACACGAAGAAATTAAAGAAATCACATTTATCCATTTTCAAAAGCCCACATGGGCCACATCATCGTTTTAAAGTGATAAAGCTCCTGATCCGTTGGAAATCTTTCATTTGTGGCGTTCTATTAATGAACTGTCTTATAAGATGCACCTAATAACAATACTTAATTTCACAGATATCCAACCTATTTATTCTAACACTTCCCAAGAAATCAGAGGTAATATCTAAATTGAATTAACTTCTTATTTTGATGGTTTTGTGTGTGTGTCTGCGTTGTTTTTTTTTTTCTGGG